TGAAATAATCTATTTCATTTTTCTTTTACATATTTGATTAGCATCAACTCCGCCCAACATAATCTTGAACGCATCCACAAATTTTTCAGCCGCGTTAACAACAATGAGTTCAACATATGCGGCACCGACAGGTTCACCAATACCATCAAATCGTCACTATTATATTGTACGCAAAATATTCGTTAATACCTATGGTTATTATGTAATTAAAAGTAGCAGTTTCATAGATTTATATGGTTATTTATATCGAGATCCATTCGACGCAACTCTTCCAATGGTGAATTTACTTATGCAAAATGATGACACTGGTGGTCGTGGGCAGTTTCTCATACAAGGTCTTCTTTCTTCCTCTTTATATAATTTAGTGGTCACTACTTACTCACCAAATGTGACAGGACCATTTTCTATCTCCATCGGCGGTCCTGGACCAGTAATTATCCAGTAGAAGTTGTCTATGCTTCTCATTTATTCTTGTTAAAAAGTACTGAATGTAAATTATTTTGATTACAATTTACCCACAAAGGGAATATCAAAAACAGTGGGTGAGGCGTGGGTGGGTATAGATGCGGATGCGAAAACAAATGATATCGAGTGTTGTAGAAGCATAAAGAAAACAAGAAATATATAAAAATCTTGTTCGAAGCTTTTAGTTTTTTTTAAGTTTATCTTTGTTCACACTCGGTGAGTGATGAACTTTAATTAACTTCAGGCATCACAGACAAGTGTAAATGATGCATACAATGGATGAACAAAATACAAAAACGAGACGTTCAGCAATGCGATACGCGTTCTTTTGCAAACTTCTATTGTATACGGATATGTGAAGCATTTTTTGATTTGTTTTGTTCAATATTATTAGGAAATAAATCGCTTAGAAACCAACGTGATCTACTATCACCAACTTTAGAATGGGTGTAACTATGAGTATTATATTCATCACACACCCACACCTACACCCTCAATTGATTATAAAAAAGCCTCAGTTATGCTGCAATTCATGAGTATCAGAAACTCTTTGTAGGTTATTACAAATACATCTTGTAAGAAATGGCAATCTTAGAAAAACCAAGTGAAATCAAACGAGTTCGAGATGATGTAATCATATTTGAATATGTCTCCGTATAATATTGAATGTAGCTGGAGGAACTGGTACATTTTCAAGTGATATAATATGGTATTTAGGTGAATCCTCCTTGATGTCTATTATTTTAAATAATGTAAATGGTAATAGTAGTATTTCGTCTTCTTCATCGAATTTCGAAATACCACGAAGATTAATCGCTGTGGGACATTCATTTGGAAACTTGAAATGGAAAAAAATAGCGTAACTGGTTGCATTGATATTATCAGCGAAGGATTCAGCTACTTCTCTGCATAACGAAGTTGAATGCAGTGCACAGGTTTCAATAATATGGCTCTTACTCTGCATGGCTTTTTGATAAATTTGAAGAATCTTTTGATATTCATCAGGATTCTCTTTTGTTAGGCCACGATAGAGGTCACCCTTAGGAAAATTCCTTTGTTTCAAACCATCCAGACGCATGTAGAGTAATGTTGTAAAAGCATTATTCTCCTTCCGAAGAGCGTTGTAAAGAGGGGTGTCCATAGAATAAATTCTAAGCAGATGTTCGGGGTTTTTAGTATTGGTGTAATCTTTGAAGGCCTCCATAGCTTCCTCGTATTCGTCTTCATCTGTAATATACCGTTTGATAAGAGATGCAACTATATCAACGGCTTGTTTTTCCATCAGAAATCTTAGCAATGTTTTGACCATCCAAGAAGAACGAGTAATACTCATCAAAAATCGAGCATCCAACGCGTCTGTTGCATTGTCATACATACGAAGCCAATCGACTTCAGTATCATTCAATGGAACAGTTGTTGGATTAGGAAATTGATTATTTGGATATAACGTTAAAATATTATTGATACTGATCGAATGATTCATCATCGATGGTGATGTAACAAAGAGCGAGCGAATATTTGGAGAACACGTACATTGGCACGGAGTTTGTCCCAAATAGTTTGATATCGAGCGTGAATAAGAATTCTGTCCAAAATCAGATTGTAAAAGAAGTTGAACAAGATCATAATTATTTCTTTCACATGCAATATGAAGAACTGTATTGCCATACATATATTGTCGATTGAATTCTTCATCAGACAATTCAGGCAACAATTGACGAACTAGCTCTATATTATCAGCATGACAGGCTTCGTAAAATAAGTCAGCATTCGATACAGATTGAAGGGGGAATATGGACGTCATTTAGCTGTGTAAAAGCCGTCGAAAAATTACTTCTACTTCTGATCTTTACAATACGAATACTTTCCAACTAAATGTTAAAAGAATCAATAAATAAAATTCAAAAAAATAGAGAATGGAGCGTAAAGGGAACTGACACATGATGAAGTCTTTGTTATTTTTATTGGATTGCAAAAGTGCATCAAATTTAACTGAAATATTTTGCCATTAAATGTGACGAAGAACGCAAAAGAAAAAGTGTCTGCGACATATAATTGAAATGTGTGTTTTGAAAAAGAAAAGGAAGTGAATGTTTCTATTATTGTTTGTATAAGACCATTATGAAAAGTAAACTATTTGGTGAAGACTACAGTCAGTTTGTTTTTACTTTGAAATGTGTGTACCAGATTTTATTAGACAAGAGACAGATGTAAGTTTTATTTCAATTTCTACCACACTCATTGGTCAATTGCACTACTTCTAGTCTAAAACTTATTCTCTTTTTATCTGATTAATCTCACAAATGAAAAGAATCAGAGACATAAAATTTAATACTATTTTTCGGTAAAACTTGTCAGAAAGAGTCAATATTATTTTTATAATTTCGACTACGAGGATGCATGAAATCTGTTCTACTATCCAATACAATTTATTTCTAATGGATTCGCCCATTCCAGTTTTTATAAAAAGCAGTTAAAGTTGATTGAATGCGAGTTCTATACATATTCCTTGTTTTTCTAGGCATGTACCCAGGGCTCTTGTGATGTTGCTTCGGTCATTTATGCAGAATGTTTTTTCCTACGACTGTTAAATATTGATCTCACCAAAAACAATGGTGTAAAAAATATTGTGCCTGGTGTGTCTGCATCGTTGAGCAATGTTATTCGTGCACTTATAATTATAATAGTGTGTACAAGTATCTGTTTGAACTCGTTAGCATGTGTTATTACTGGACGATACTTTTCTTCATCAGATCAACAGTGCGGCCCAAATCTTCAGACTTGGTTGATTATCTCTGGATCTCTCGGTTTGGCTTTTAATTTTCTTATCATTTTATTTGTAAGTTTTCTCGTTCGTAAGCTAGATAACTTTCATCAGTGCTGAGTCACATTTTCATTTCATACTTATTGAGTAATGAACAAAAAAACTGTTCATAGCATTTTGTTGCATATGTGAGAGTAGAAGCATTCAAAGAAATTTATTGTAAATTCAAATCTTCATTTCAAGAGAATAGTTTAATATGTTACATCACAAATCAACAACTTTGTAAAAGTGCAAAACTATAGTCTAAACATTTTTTAATCGATACAAATTAGTTTGTTTAGTACTGTATTCAATTAGCAATCTATATAAATTTAGAAATTTCATTAGTTATATCATTTCTATCGAACTTTCTAGGTGGTTTTTAAAATAAAATGTTGTCCCCAAGATGATCGGTTCATATTTTCTAAGATGTATCAAATGACAGTCGCCTTAGCCATGTGCACGGGTGTCATGACCATTGCCTATGGCTTGTCGTGGATCATTGAATCGAAAAAGTATTTACAGTGCCTACCTGGTTTGACTTATTATGCGATAGCGACGTATTCCATTATCTGTTTTTGTGGTTTTCTTTTATTATTTTATGGTGCAGTTGTCTACTGCAGATATCGTTGCAAAGGACAACAGGATCAACAGATGTATTATGGTACTCTACAAAATAATCTTCGTTTTTTTGATGGTCCTATATCAATTATCAACAATAATCAGACAGGAGTGTGATTTTACAATCATGATAAAATCGGTGTAGATGAGCACAGAAGTTTATGCGGGATAAAATAAATATTGATACCCACACCCAGGTCCATACCCGTTTTTTCTCTTATTTTTGTTTATTCTTATCGTAACTCGTGTTACCTTTTATTGACCAAGATTGTTGCATTTTAGTTAACTGTTTTCCTTCACAAACACATTTGTTCTTTAATTAAAAATGTTCTCGTTTGGAAATTGTTTTTTTCATAGATATAATTCTTCTTCCAAATCTTGAAGGTGGGTGTGGGCGTGGGTGAGATTGATGTGTAAAGGTGTGGGTGTGAGTATTATATTTATATCGTATCCACACCCACAGCCATACCCTTAAGAGTATCTGTATTTTTTCTTTCTGACTAGCAGAATTTGATTGAAAAAACGTCAGATAACTGAGTGTAGATGCGATGCCGGTATTTCTGTTTCATCTGCAGCGATACCGTCATTTCACTTCGTTTAAGTTGGAAAAAATCGACTTATTTTCTCTTATTATTTTAACATCGTCAAGTGATGACGTACATTTCTTTGACACACAGAACAGTTGCCACATTCGCATAAAAAAGCAAATAAATCAGTTTCGTTCTTTTTTCACATTCATTCATTCATCATGGCAAGAACAAACAGTGAGCAGAATGTCGATATTGACGATCTTATTTGTCCCATTACCATGGAGTTGTTTCGCGATCCGGTAATTGCAAATGATGGACATGTCTATGAACGAGCAGCAATTACAAAATGGATTAATGAACATGGTACTAGTCCATTTACCAGGCAACCATTGCAACTGAGTGAATTACAACCAGATGATTACTTGAGACAATTGGCAGCGCGT